AGCACTGTTGCCAAGTTGCTCATAGTCGTCAGCGTTGATGGATGCTCATGCCCGAGTACCGTCTCTTTGAGCGAGAGCGTCTGTCTGTTCATCGCTTCTGCCGCCTCGTACTTGCCCTGGCTGTCTAGCACTGTTGCTAAGTTGCTCATGGTCATCAGCGTCTCTGGATGCTCACGCCCGAGTACCGTCTTAGATAGCGACAGCGTCTGTTTGTTCATCACTTCCGCCGCCTCGTACTTGCCTTGGTTGGCCAGCACTGTTGCCAAGTTGCCCATAGTCGTCAGCGTTGATGGATGCTCGTTGCCAAGCACCCTCTTTCTCTTCTCCATCACTTGCACAAACAGCTCTTCGGCCTCCCTCCACCGCCCATCTGTAAGCAAAGCCATAGCACATTTCCATGCCAGGTTTGTCCTAGCTTCGTTGTCTTGTTCAGTCAGGTCAGATGACAGAGCAGACTTAGCATGCGGTAGTAATCGTCTCCACTTGCTTCTGCTCCCATGTTTACTGTCTGGGAATACCTCAAGCAGACGTGTAATAACTACTTCAGTCCACTGACTCAGCATTTTATGCTCTTGAAGCCATATGCGTGTTGATACATGCACTAGTCGATGAAGGTCGAGCGCCGATTCAGCCGTTCGCTTGGTGACGAGTGAGTAGGAATCAAGGGTTGCCACCGCATGTATTCCGTGTTCATGTGGCCTAGCCGTCGGAAGAAGTGCGAGCGGAATATCGTTTCGGTCTACACACGCCATGAAAAGTAGATAATCGGCAGCCAAGTCATCATGCCGACGAATCTGCTCGAACGAAATAAGCCAGGTCGCAGCTATTACAACCCCAGACTCCCGATAATGATCTTCCGCTAACTCCTTCTTTCTCTCAACTAGTAGCGATAGATATCCTTGAAGCGTTGTCTTATTGACATTGATATAGGCTGCTGCTTGCACAATAGCGAGAGGGAGGTATGCTAACTCTTTGATCAAGAGACTTGCCTCCTCTTGCTCTTCCGCCGGCTCGACTAAACACATTTCTAGCATTCTTTGAGCAATATCCTCTTCCAATCCTGGCAATTCTACAATATCATGCGGTGCCAGTTTTGTAGCCGTCTTCTTGTCAGCTGTCGTGAAGACTATAGCCCCCTGCTTAGAGCTCGGTAGGAACTCCATCAGGCCGACTACATTAGATAATCTGGCGGATCCTATTGTAGCCTCGTCTACGCCGTCTAAAACGAGGAGCCACTGTCCTGAAGTCTCTTTGCTTAGGTATAGTTGCACTAGCTTCTTAACGTCCGTCTTTTCATCGTCCCAGCCTGGAATAGCAAGTCGTCGGGCAATATGTGCATACCCTTGATGGATGCTTGCCTTATCCCTTGCAGATATCCAGAAGACTGAGCAGTTCTTACACTCTTGTCTGATTCTATATGCTAACGCCAGCGCTAGCTGTGTTTTACCTATCCCTCCTGGGCCTGTGATTGCGACCTTGGTGGCTGATGTTCCGACGAAGAGCTTTCGTTCCAGCTCGGCGAGCTGCAATGTGCGACCAATGAACCGAGCGTTTTGATTAAATGGTACGAGGAACGGTGTGGTGTTCGCTGCGGGGTAGATTTTAGCACTTTTCAGAGAACAGTATAGACGCCGAACCTTTTCCTATTTCTTCCTGGAGTCGGTTAAATGCTCTCTCCTTTCCTTCGCCGTATCTAAACTCCATAGACACAGCAACAAGTCCAATCAGAGAGTACGCCATGTCTTCTTCTTCCTTTGTCTGACGGCCCGCCATCCATGACATTCTCTCCGGAACGCTAAACTGGTCGAGACCATCACCCCGTAAAGCTGTAACCGGGATACGAGTGATCTCACAAATTTGCTGCTCAAGGGAGGCTCTGTCCCCAATACGCTGACCCTCTAAGGAAAAGAAGTCGATTGATGCTGGAGCTAGGAGTTCCTGAAGCGTCCAGCCTCGAGTAAACCATCTGCTCTTCCGAAAAGAGGCTTCCCACGTATCCTGGTGCAGCTGTGCATCTGGTGTAGGCGCTGAGACATCTGAGAGGAAAGCGTAGCATTTTGCCGCATTCTTATACCATCGGAACATGGAGTTTATCGCGTGTGACAGCTCAGTGATTTTCCATTTGTCAATGCAACATGTGTCGACCCAGAAGTACTGCAAAGAGTCGCGAGTCGCTTGTTCACCACAGAACATAATCTTTTCATAGCCAGCCTTGCTTTTACCAGTACCATTCACTAGGTCTTCGAAGAGGAACTCGTCATCACCCCAGGTGTGGGAAAGAATGGCATATGGCGGAATTGTTTTCCGGCTGAAATCTGCTGAGGTGGGTCTCCTGAAACTATCGAAGTAGAGGAGCCGCATGGCAAAAACAACGGTTCTAAGATGCAAGGACAGAGGTAAACAAAAGGATCAAGAGGACGTGCAATACGCAGGGAGTTGATAGAGACGGCCACTTGATTGCAGGGGAGAAAGGTATCGCTCTGTGTGTGTTGATGGTGGGCTGTGTCAAGGCTGTGTTTTGGACAGGCTCAGCTGCACAGTCACGTGAACAGAAGTAAATGAGCGGATAGATTTAAGACGTACTTTACAGGACAAACGTCAGGATTAGATGGTCTTATAGAGGTAGAAGAGTTAATTATTATTAGTAACAGGACAGCATACTGTCCTAGGTTGTGTTGTAATTAGATACTTACCCTAACTTAGCCCTGCTTCTAATCTAGTTTTGGGTGTCCTAGAGGGCTTGGCAAAACGCGTCAACATAGCCTCAGACCTCGTGTCAGCAACAGATTACAGCTAAGCTACTTTGAGTTAGGTATGCCGGGCCTCTTCATGTGGCACATCTAGCAGGCAGACTTTGAAAAGTCCAAAAGCACGAAAGCTTCTTGAGCTCAAGCGCAGTGCTCGGGATAGAATAATTTCGAAATAAGTTGTATGTCGAAGGACTTTCGACAAGACCCATAAGCTTTCAATGCACCCACTGCCAGCTAAAGCGAGGCGGTCGCGTCATGCTTATACTAAATTGTTGCATTGCATGGTCGACAGGACCTGTTCCTACAAGACACTGGGCGCGAATAGACTGTGTAGCTTAAGGCTACTATTCCGATAATATCTATTCTGCTGGCTTATTATTGCGTTTGTTGTGTTGGGGAGTGTCTACGGCGTCCCGCCACGCAGGTGTCCCGTTGCGCAGGGATGGACGTTAGATGCGTTCATTACGTGAAAAGAATCGGAGGTCATCGGAACTATCATTCACGAAAGCCAAGAATTATGAAGAGAAAAAGAGATATTGCTACTCAAGTGATATTGTACATAATTCTACTAACTATCATGCTGAAGTTTGACTAATCTGAGACTAGGGGGAATTCCGGTCCATGTTGCCAATTTCCCTCAATTTTATCTAATCGCATTATGTCGATAGTTGATTAGATCTTATACTCGAGATAGTGGGTACGGTCGGCTAAATTTGTAATTGCTCTCCCGGAGAGTCACTCGTTCGAGATTACCCTCCAGAAAATCGATCCAGCGTACTGGGTGTTGGGGCTTGACGAGGCGGAAAGAGGTTTGTCCGGTCGCCTCATCGATGACATCGAGAAAGTGGAATGCTACGCCCGTGCGGGTCAGGATCCTAATCTCCGGGATCTTCAACTAGATCGAAATATTCAATCCTCCCGGTGACAACAAGGTATGTAATCAGATCCTGGTGTTGTTCAAAGGAAGCAAGGATCTGGCGGTGGAAAAACAATGTCTTCATGTTGACCGGCGCCACACATGCCGCTATATCCACGATTGTTGACAAGGAGGAGAGCCAAGACCGCCTCTCAGGCGCCATATGCTCGATGAGGAAGCGAAGATTCCGAAGGAGCTGGGCCATAAACCCGCCGCCCCGCGACGGATTGACCAGACGTACATGATTTCCAATGTAGCTCCAGATCCCTAGTCTCATAGTAGACCTGCTTATCGACGAGCTTGATGTGGTTGAAAGAGTGACGCTGGTCATCACAAGCGCGCATGGTGGTTGGGGGCGTGATACTTTGATCGGCGACCTCGGGGTGGTCCTCATCTGGTATGAGGTAAACCACAGGCCGAGCGCGGTTGCTGGTGGCCATGTATGCTACGAGCGGGCGGGGCGCTGTGAGCGCGAACTCGTAAATGCGATTGTGGATCTCACCTGGGAGTCGTAGAGAGGATGAGATGATCTCATTGGTTGAAGAAGTCAGTTTGTGTTCTGGGTTTCCCAGCCGAAGAGGGGTTGAGCTTTCCCAATTGATGGGAAGGTTTCTTGTAGGTTTCTGTCGAGGGAATACGTTACTTCCATGTATACTCGGGAATAAGTCTTCACAATGTACACCCAAGAGAAAATATATACTACAAGGGTCGATTCATTGTTATACATTGATGGTTCAAAGAAGTCTAGGGGTATCATATCGCCGAGCATATAGTACAAACAAAGGGAACCATTTCGTGTATGCACAACCCATCGTCCGACTGGTGACAACGAAGCGACCAATTGCAGCAGGACCAGCGGCAGCGACATCGTACTGGCGCATCGCATGTAAGCGAGCGCTCGGTAGTACGTCCAAAGCATGAAATCGCTGTGACGCAATCAGTACCCTGCCCAAGGCACCGACCAGCAAGGAAACTCACCGCCAAAGCTATACCTTGCTCGCGATCGCTTCTGTTGTTCGAGCCTCATGGAAGATATGTTCAGTACAGTATGGTATCCCCTCTTATTTCTCATCACCAGCGATGAAAAAACTCCTCATCCCGCTCAGTCGCCTCGACTTGCGCCCATTGTACACCTTCGTCAACCACTCCATCCCAGACCAATCCATATGACTCTGTCTCCTGTCCGCTTCAGCCTCATCCGCTATCACTGCCGTAGGAGGAGGCGCCAAAACACGGGTGTCCTCATCCTCCGCCGCACCCTTTCCCCGAATCTTCTTCTCCTCATCCTCGACTTCCATCGCCCCCCGACAAAACCAGCTCTTTCGGTCAAACCAGCTGTTGACCTTCGGTGGCCGCTCCTGCGTCGAATAAACACTTTTCCCCGACGTCTTCACGCTCGCGAAGCTCTTCCGATACGCAGTCGCTATCGAAGACTTGCGGCTCGAGTAGAAGCTCTTCTCCTCCATCGATGCCGCGCTCGGTGGCCGCCGGGGCGACGCCAACCCCATCTCGTAGATAGCCTTCTCATTTGTCGCGGACAGCTCGAGGAACTTGGGCTTCTCCTCCAGCGGCGACGGCAGTTCCGCGACACGAGGCTGCACTTCCACGGGTGAGAGTTCTGGGAGCGCACTTGAGTGCATCTGGATGGGGGAGCTGATGCGGCTTTTCAGCATGTCGGTGTTGATGGGGTGCGCTTTTTCGCCCAGCGGGGCTGGGCTGAGCGATGCGAGAGGCGCGCGCCAGCAGAACCATGTGCCTGTGCGGCCGCGCTGGACGCCCAGGTAGAATATGATGGATGCCACCAATAGGACGGATAAGCCTATCGCGAAGCCAATGCCAATATTGTGTGGTGAGGCCGAGCGCTTGTGGAGGAGGTATGTTTCTGGAGTGATGGGTGAGGCAGCGGCTGGAAGGATTGCCACGAGAAGGAGGAGGAGAGATGGTGGCAGCGACATTTTTCGATGGGCCTTGTATGTGATAGTTATCGTGTGTGCGTGAGGGGTGATCGTGGGGGCTCAAGCACAGAAACCCTACAATCCAGTCTAAACATTAGATTATGGTGAGAGATAGATTTCAACACCCGTAGAACGAGGCGGAAGCTCTCCTTACATATCGAGACAACGCCCTACCTTGCTGCGCCGTGCAGGATGGTTCGGCGATGAGTAACTACTGCTTTCGGCTAGGTTGTACCCGGGGCAGGTGATTCTGCAAGGCTGACGTTGGATCCAACCCACAAAGAGGCGAGACACCACCAATGATTACGGCGCCGCTAGACCCCTGCGAGAAGGCTGTTCCCGAGTAGGATGACGATTTTGTGTTATTACTGGATGGGGGCTGGGCGTTGCCTAACCGTACTCGTTAGGGGCCTTTTGGGGGCAGTGCGACTTGGTGACCTGCACCAACAAAGAATGTTGAGTACTAGGAAAACATGGTCGGAATGTGCGGCATAAGATTTTGCGGTCATTCTGACGGCGCACGCTGGCTCATGTCAGGGTATCGCACCGTAGTCGAGGCTTCAGCGCATTGTCAATGCGTGCATATCGTGTTCGACAGTCTTCCTGCCAACAGCCAGAAAACCCGGATCGGCATACGGCGTGCCATCGCTCAGGTACGAAATGCGGCTCATTGGATCGCGCACGAGCTGGCTATGCATAGACACTTGGGTCTTGTCTTCTTGGCCCAAAGGGGGAATTCGGGTATGTGGCCGTCAGAGTGGCTAACCGTATCGAGAAAGACGATGCCCGACATGCAGACCTGGTTCTCGGATAGTGCGCGACGGCCTGACACACAGCCTCTGGTACCTGCATACTCGGCGTCGCTCAGGCTATTTTGCGCTAAGTTTCAAGTCATGGCGTGGGGAAGGAATGTCAGCTAAGAACGTTCACAAAGAAAGGAATGTTGAAACAAATGGGATTAGATACTATGGAATGGACATTCTAATATAGCATTACACGTACATTGATCTTGATAAAGAAAGCTAGCAAGGAGCAAACATTGAATAAAGGGTTGTGACAGGCTTGACGGACAATCGCCGTCCCAAAGTATGCTGTGCCGCGCAGGTATAAAATGTTGAGAACATGACCGAACGCACGATTGCGGGAGTCCGGCGGCACAGCACGTGGGATCAAGCACCGACGGCCGCTGGCGGAGAAAGGAAATGCTCCGAAAGCCTCCGAAGACTCAGTGGCAGCGAGGCCTTTCCAGTATTGTCGGCGGGTGGCGAATACAATGGGTCTAAGCTTTCACTGCGTCGATCGTCAGCAATATTTCAGCCTAATATCGCCCAAGGAATGTACTCACATCTGCATGAGGTCGCTAGGGGAGGGAGAGTTCTCCTTGTTAGTTTTGTCGACTTCTTTCTCCATGTCGAAAGCAAAGTAGTCGCCCTTTGACCTGAAAGGGCTTGCTGCCGCTGTTGGTGTTTCATGCACGCTGGGTGTTGGTGGGATTGTTGTCAACAGGGTATGGGGATGATCCGTGTACGTAGACATCTTCGTTGGACACGAACCGCTGATGCTAAGCCGAAGGGTCCTCGGATTCGCATCAGGTATAGAGAGTGAGCTAGTGCGGCCAGGCTTAGAGGGCGTTGGAGGTGGTGGGCCCATGTTGTTGGACTGACTGAACGCTCTCTTGATCAAGCCACCAAAAGCTGATGCAGTAGAGGAATTCCTGCTGCGAAAGCTACTTCCGCCACCCTCTGAGCCGACTGCCGAGGAAACACTCAGATTGCGCGACGAACTTGTTGAAAGGTTTGAGCGCTCCATGAGGCTGAATATGCCACGCAAGGCTGAGATTGCAGCATCTACAGAGCTCTGAAGGCTGTTCCATGAGTATTCAAGACGGATGAAGTCGTCTAGGTTGTCCTCGATGGCTTCCATTTCGTTCAGGCAGACGCAGACTGCGTCGGCAATGATGGTCGTTCCGGTGATCCAAGCGTTGGCGACGGCGTCCTGACAGTAGACAGGCTGGGCATGGATGAGCTGGACCGCTGAATTGGCGGTCTTGTCGATGGCATGGTCCGCCATGTCGCGTTGTTGGCAGATGTCAACTCGTAGGAGGGATCGTCGGCTGGAAGGGGAGTTGTCGGCCTTGTACATGGTAGACTTTGCGCCGTCGTAGACGGCTTTAAAGGCATCTTGGTGCACGTAGGCAATGCCGGCGTTGAGGTTGTCGAGCGTCGAAAGGACTGAATCCGCATCATTCCCGAGGACGGAGTGGAGAATTGCCACGTGATCCGTTCCATCAATGATGGCGTGCGCCTGGAGCGTTTTGAAGAAGGTGAAGTCGTTGGTTCGACGGGCTGCATGGAGATTGTGTCTAACGAGCGCAATCCGTTGAGTCCAGTGCAGCCGAAGTGTTGTGTCAATGCCCATTATTGAGGATGACTGTTGTTAGAATCAGTCAGCGCGCTGCAAATACTGTACAGCACCTATCAGAAGAGGGTTGAAATATTTTGTAACGTTGTCGTTGGAGTAGGAAAGCAGGCAACTATGTATCTCATCCTCAAGCCTGAAATAGACCAATGCCCCCTCTTGATGGATTAGCAACGACGTACGCAATCATCGTCGACTGGACTTTGAGAAGTTTCGTATATCGTAAAGGATAGGCCGTGAACTGATCGCAAAACAATAGGTGCACCAAGATCAACGACCCGAGAGACAACCCGAACTAGTCCGCGGCGAAGATTTCCGTAGGATTTTCACGATGCATCTGAAAACCATCTCTTTGTTCTTTACATAGAGGAGAAGTTGCGGAGCACCCCATACGCCCGTTGATGAGACTTCTCCGAAGGGCTAGTCACGCCTGTCTCATACAACATGGCTGTCATCGGAGCATGGCATGTTCTGGACATGCGTAGGGCTGAAACATTTCGCGTCTAGTCCGCGCTAGCACGACTAAATAAAGCCAAATGAGATCAGTCCAAGTCAACAACAACAGACAAGTTGGGTGTGCCTTCGGGCCGGTGTTGAAGTTATTGATCGAGGCTCTGGTCTACTGACTGCACTGAGTCGATGTAACTGATTCCAGGGCGCCGGCAAAGGATTTGAACGAGGCGGAGACACCTGGGAGTGTCGTCAGTAGCCTGCGATGCATCCCTGAGTCGAATCAGCACGTTAGGTACAGTTTTAGGTCACGCATGTGGATACTGCATCGCTCCTCCTGGGGTAACACAGCGTCCTTGGGTTCCCTTGACATGTAGCGCGGCCAGAAGAATGCGGAGAAGCGGGTCTCCAAGTACGACATCGGTTTGGTCATGAACTAAGTGAATCGTCGACCAGGTCTTTGAAATTTTGGAGTATCTGCCAGATCACGCGGTCTCATAAGTGCGGATGCTCGCAGACATGTTGCATCGTTGCTGGACTCCATCGCTTTGGGAGCTACCGTCGATCGATCACCGTGATGAATCAATGGCAAGATGGTCATGCGAGTGAGTCAACTCTTCGATAACAGTAGGGGGCCGCGGCCGCATCCGACGGAAAGGTGGAGAGAAGAATCGACGGCCCCGGGAATTGTGGTTGATTTCGGCCAAACCGGATTAGTCATTTCCGCGGATGAGCCGCACTAGCTTTGCCAAGCCCCCCAAGCTCCTCACATCGCAAGCTTATTTGCTGACCAGCGCAGAATTTTCGGATCTTTGAAAGAAATGCTACGCACCGACGACGCGTTAGCATGGCCTTGCCTGTTCCTGGCCATCGCGTCAAGGGATGGATTGCGCTTAGGCGTGGCGACCCGCTCGTAACCGCCGCGTACCCCTGCCGAATTTTCATTGCCGGCGGCCATCACGCCCTGGATTTCTGACGGCCTCCAGTAAGGCGACTGTGGGACCACCATGAAGAAATTTTCGAGAGCAACCTAAGGTGACTACGCGGACCCAGGTTGGAATGGACCATCATAGTGGCGGCACCTTATCCGGGGGTGCATGGACGATGTCTTTGAAATAGACCTGAGCTCGCCTCTGTGAGTTGTACATCATCCATCGGTGACTCGATAAAAGCATCCCGACCTTGAGTGGATCAAGACCCCATCGCCACGGTGACCTCCCATCCCTTTGGTACTTTCCTAAGACCAGCTGGATCAGAAGCATCATGATGGAGGGCATCACGCAGAAGATGGACAACAAGTCGGACAAGTCGCAGACGTTTTCGTCGAGCGATGCTGAGAAGGGAGGCTCGCCCCCCCAGGAAGCACAGTTGCAGCGAAAGCTGTCAAGTCGTCACCTGCAGTTCGTTGCCATTGGTATGTCTTTACTCTACATGTCTCGCCATCGCGTATTGCTAACAGCCGATAGGTGGCACGGTTGGTACAGGTATCTTCATCGCCTCGGGAAAGAGTATTGCGACTGCGGGACCCGCCGGAGCCCTTCTCGCCTATGTTTTCATCGGAACCCTCGTGTACGCCGTCATGCAAGCGCTTGCTGAAATGTCGACCTACCTCCCAATCTCTGGCGCCTTCACGCAGTACGCATCTCGCTTTGTGGACCCTAGTCTCGGATTCGCGATGGGCTGGATATACTGGTTCAGTTGGAGCATCACCTACGCTCTGGAGCTCAGCGCTGCCGGCTTGATCATCCAATGGTGGAATGCCGACCTGAACATCGCCATCTTCATTTCCATCTTCTGGGTCCCCATCACTTTGGTGAACTTCTTGCCCGTCGACGTATTTGGCGAGTTTGAGTTCTGGTTCGCTTCGCTGAAGGTCTTGGCTTTGGTCGGTTTCATGATTTTCTCCATCTGCATCAATGCTGGTGCAGGTGACCAAGGCTACCTGGGTTTTAAATACTGGAGGGAGCCGGGCGCGTTCGCTCCGTACTTGACCGAGGGACCGAAAGCGAAGTTTGTCAGCTTCTGGGCCGTCATGGTAGCGGCTGCCTTCTCGTTCCAGGGATCTGAGTTGGTTGCTGTGGGCGCTGGTGAAAGCCAGAACCCCAGGGTAACGATGCCGAAGGCCATCCGAAGGACTTTCTGGAGCATCTTCTTGCTCTTTGTCTTCACAATCTTCTTCATCGGCATCGTCGTTCCCTATGACAACGAGTCACTTCTCATCGGAGAGACCAACGCCAGCTCTTCACCGTTGGTCATCGCTGCGCAGCTCGCGGGCGTGTCAGTTCTCCCTCACATCATCAACGCGGTCCTCCTGACGGCCGTACTTTCCGCTGCGAGCTCGAATGTCTACTCTGGAAGTCGTATCCTTGTCGGTCTCTCCGAGCAGCAGTGCGCGCCCAAGTTCCTCCAGCTCACCTCCAAGCGCGGTGTTCCTTACGTCGCAGTCGCCGTTACGGCTGCTGTAGGCGCGTTGGGCTACTTGAACTGCTCCAGCAGTGGTACCGAGGCGTTCAACTGGCTGTTGAACATCACCAGCGTGGCTGGACTGATAGCGTGGTGCTGCATTTTCATTTGCTACCTCGCGTTCAGCAAGGCTCTCCGAGCGCACAACATTGACCGTGACAACCTTCCATATCGGGCATGGGGAGGCGACTGGTTCGCTACCTACGGACTCGTGTTCTGCGTCATCATCACTCTCACCCAGGGCTTTACCGCGTTCGTGCCGTGGAGCGTTGAAGAGTTCTTTATCGCATATGTTAGTTTGATTCTTTTCGCGGTTATGTACATTGGCCACAAAATCTTCACCCGGTCCAAGTTCATCACCTCTTCGGAGGCAGACATTCTCACTGGCAAGTTCGAGAATGACAAAGGTGAGACGGCCGAACATTGGGAAGAGAGCTCCAGGAGCATGTGGACCAAGGGGTTCAATGCCATCTTCCGGAGGTAAAAGTCCTGTTCCTTATGAAGCGTTGTTTCCATTTGCATTGCATAGCATGGCTGGGGTTCATATTGCTGTACTGTATCGCATGTTATGTTCCAGGCGCACCGGGTTACTCGATACCTGATATGTAAAACAAATACCTGCTCCTTCTCAAACTCGGTCCTGCTATTTTCGAATGTGCCTGTCGATCTCATGTTGGGTGCAATTGCGATGACATCGTTGAAACGGCTATCACAGTCCGCGCAAGGAAGACCCAGACGTACTTCTCATAACGCTGTTTGTAAGCACGATCAAGCCCACTGTTCCTTGACTGCGCAACTATCACTCTTGCCAACCGTTTCAAGTCCAAGTATGGAAACGTGCCTGACGGCAGCCAAGCCCGGGTAGAAGAGCCCTGATGCCACTGCCGTTGCCTATGAAGAACAAGAAACTTTGCCATAAATTAATAAAGACTTGCAATTGGACGGTTATTAGGAGGGTCGCCCTCAATGATGTAAATCGTAGACGCACTGCAAGGCACAGCTGGGGCGCGAGAGGAGAGGTGTGACGTCGATCGGGCCAAAAGAGCAGTGACGTGGGGCGCTATGTGGGCCGTGGCTTCCCGCCAGGCAACGCTTTCGCATCCAAGCGAACCTAACCCCAGCTTTCACAACAACACCATGCATGCTTGCCACAATCCCATCTCATGTCGCGCGCGACGCCACCACAATCACGACCCCAATGCAACTGTCGCCGCCTCAATTTCAGGGCAGCTACATGTTGCATGACGCAGGGAAACCTGCGCATACTCTAACCGATGCACTTTCCACGGGGTTTCAGCCCTATAACACGACCCCAGCTCTATAACAAGTCGCTTTCACAAGCCTGGAATTAGCTTGGAGTTGGACGGGCGTCTAGAAGACCTTATTCGCATACTGACGTTATACCCCAGCCGCGACAGCTGTCAACGCTTTGCGAACGGTTGGCAGCTCTCGCTCCACTCGGCCGTTTCAACGGCGCGCAACAACGGGCAACTCCACTACGAGAGGCTTCGCCACTTCAACGGTTGCACCGATATCCAGTGAATGAACAAATTCAAACCACGAAGGCTATTGAATCTGCACCCAAAATCCACCAGCAGCCACAACTCGCCGCCACAGGGTCGCGCTGTGCCGACAATCCTTGCATCTTGCTGGTACCTGAACCTGATTCGTGAAACCATGTTCTCCTTTTGCCAACATGAGCATGGGTACCATGCCGACCACCAGGTTTGGTTCTGGGTTTGACGGCCCCGCATGTTTTCTCAAACGCTCGCCCTCGGAGATGACCACTTCATGCTGTGGCCTGGCCGCTTGCTGGCAGTGGATTCCGACGTCATGAGGTTGGCTGTTCAGTGCCAGTTCGCAATGCGATATTGAAGCTCCACGTAGATTTGTGAAAAGTTCTTGCGTTCTGGCAGTCTTGAGGATCTCACTGCTCAGCAGGGGTACCGCCACTGGCCCACCATGCCGCGTACAGTTGCCAACACACATAGAAGTGGCACCAAACCACAGCAGCCGATCACCCTGTCAATCATGTCCCTGCCCGATGCAGCTCTTTCTCCGAGATGGATCGACATGACCAGATGCTTGTTCCTCGGCGCTCCTCCGAGCTCCACCTCACGATACCCGCGTCTCAATGCCAGCCTTAGGTGCTGTTTTATCTTCAAAAGACCGGCTAGCATGCCGATCAAAACGCATTGAAAGCTGATGTATGACGATCAGCACAAGCCTCTCTTAGTCTTTAGTCGTAATAGGCAGAATACCATCTTGATTCGCCCCTGGACAGGCACGTTTCTGTTAGTTGGCGCTGTTCTGTGTTGCTTCGCCTGGATATCGATGTCGATCTTGGTCTAGAGGAGAGACTCGCGATGACGACGCCGTGGAAGAACTACTGGGTAGACCGGCCTTGGAAGCCCGTCAAACCCCTTACGAAAGCGCTCACACCGACAACATCTCGAGGTATAAAGAGGACGTCGATGCCACAAGAACTGAACATCATCACAACACATCAACTCATCTACTCCACTACCAAACATCATTCCAAACATCTCAACCTTTCCACCATCAAACACTTCACCAACAACCATCAAAATGCAGTTCTTCACCGTCATCGCTTTCGCTGTCGCCGCCGCCGCTGCCCCGGCCCTTGAGTCCCGCCAGCTCCCCGTCTGCACTGGGGGCTCTCCCCTCTGCTGCGCTACCGACGTCCTCAACCTCGCTGACCTCGACTGCGCTACTCGTACGTTGCCCGCAAGCTCCACAACATCTCCTCTCTTGCTAACACTTCCCAGCTGCCACCACCCCCACCAGCACCAACCAGTTCATCGACATCTGCTCCGCCGCTGGCCAGCAGGCCAAGTGCTGCATCCTGCCCATCCTCGGCCAGGCTCTGTTCTGCTCCGACGTCAACCCCACTGCGGACACCACCGTCGTCACTGCTCCCTCTTCTTAAGCGGGTCGCCACGATGACATGATCTGTATAATGTCTTGTACAGTATGAGATGGAAATACTTGGTGCATATATACATAGGCGTTTAGGTCGCCGAATAGGAAGTGACTATCAGGTCAACGATTTTCTTCTTATGATGGATTTGATAGGGAATGGGTGGCAGCTGTCTAGAGTCCGATACTCAATGACACCTCTTTTGTGGAAATGACTTTTGACTTGCCATCGTGATAATGTTTCCAATTGTGCTCACACCTTTCCTATTTTTGTTCGAGGTTGTCCGTAACTGAAGAGACATTGACGATTGATGCTTTCTAGGATAACTCGCTCTAAAATGAGCGACGGAAGTTTCGACGCAATACTCTAGCGCCAATGTTCGTAGGCAAGAAGAGCAGCATGGCCCAAACCCATACATACATTTGCGACTCCGCTCCGTCAGCGCGCAGATTTATGCCCATCTGTTTCCGCACCATGGAGGGAAGCCTGTCTGGTACCCAGGTCGTCATAGTGGATAGGAGGCTCACGAAAGACACATGTCTGGTGGATGTCAACGAACAGAAGACACGAGCGAACTTAACATTGATCTCTCGAATGTCAGATTAAGCTCTTCGTATAATGCAACAGATATATGGGTCTTTACATCCTTGGTGCGCATCCTTTCTGGCGAGCACGTTAGGGCAAGGGACGATGATGCGAGTCGCTGTATCCTTCGCGGAGCGGGTCCTTCCGCCCCAGGCCTATAAGCTGCGTCGCTCCAGATCTGCCGATCAACCATTGCGACGAGACGGAACGAAGTCCGTATCGAATGCGAGAAAGCATCAATTGATGGGAAACGCGCATTGGGCATCGCATCGTGAAGGGGTCCTACGGTTGCCCCGCAAGCGAACGGTGCGGCAGCGGGAGCTCCCGAGGCGCTCTTTCCTCCGATCATCCTGCACAACGCGGCTCTCCGTCCACTGCATCAACTCCAGATCCTCATCAATGTCAGCGGGGAGTGCGCAGTCAGCATCTCGACTTCAGGGCTTACGCGCACAACACGCCGATCCCATAGCCCAGCCTCGCAGTCGTCACCACATCGTATTGCCTTTTGCGCAGGCGGACAGGCAGGACGATATATGTATTATCCAAGGCAGCGCTGCCGCCGCGCTCTTGGGGCGAAGTGCAGCGCGTGTGACCCATCATCCTGCGTTGATTCGTCACGACACTGCTCCAGGCAATCAACTCGAGGCTGCAAGCGCTTGAGAATGCGCCTCGCATCTTCAGGTCATCGGAGGCGGGGCTGTGCCGCAACGCAGGGATAGGCTGATCGTTCCACAAGGTGGGAGGAACAAATAGCCTGGAGTGCCAATGCCGCGGTGATGTTTGACTTTTCAAAAGAGCGAGATTGTATTGTTGTTCACGAAATTCAGAGGTTCTATTGCACCTTTTGATCAGCCTAACCTTACCATGGCACCATCCCCGCAAGTCAGCGGGACTTCTTCTGCGCCATCACCATCTACAGCGCCGCAAGCGCCTTCGGTTCTTCCTGGTCTCAAACGCGGCATCGCAGTGGGGGTGGCATCGTCTGTATGTCTCATCCTCATCGCCCTGCTGGCTTTCTTCGCTCTGCGCCGACGCAAGCAACGCAAGGCACAGCACCGACAGCAGCATTCCCCAGACATCAAAGAGCTTCCCACATGGGCAGAACGGAGCGGGACACCAGTCCCACCAGAAAAGAACTGGATACCCATACCGCCGTCGCCCATCGAGGCTGACACACAGGCCATATACGAACTGGAGGCCAGTCCGGTGCCCGAACTCCCCACAGGGATCCACGTCTCTGGTGCGCAAGAGCTGGGCGCTGAGGATGCTAGCGAAAGCTCGATCGATATCAAGAGGACAAGTCTTGCAACTAGGGAAAGCGTTGAGCGTTATGGAACAAGCGAGTCACAGTACAGAGATATGCCGACGTTGCGCATCTCCCCTCCTGAGGTGTCGCCTTTGACCACCACGTCGCTGCTTGCTATCAGTCCTCTTACCGTGAGCCCTCTGGAGGAGGCATACCTCCCGCAATCGCCTCGCTCGCCGCGATCTCCGCAACTCTCTCCCCGTCACTGGATATGAGCGGCCTCTTGTGAACTCAATCAGCATCAACATGAGCTCAACATATCCAGAGATGTCTCGAGCCCTTACGCAGCAGCTGTCCAGTTCTCGACGTGGTCTGCGAAAGGCCGGGCCGTGGCAGGCCTTGATTCGTTTGCTGCCCACACGGACGTCAGAGGCGAAGCTGGGACTCTTTGACCTTCCGATCGAGCTAATATTTCGCATACTCGAAGAAGCCGTAATCTCGGCGCCAGGCACGTTCCACGCTACCTTGCGCGTAAGCCGCACTTTACGCTCTCTGACCTTGCAAACCCTCAAGGATGCAATGAATCCACGAGCACTGTCTTTCAGCATTTTCGATACTCCCACACACGGATTATACAACAGCTTGGACTGTTTCTGCGTGTTTACGTGGATCCCATACGAATTTCAATCATTCGAGGAGTTCCAGAGATTCAGCGCGAAGCTCACCAAGCTGCGTAGGAAGTGGCACGAAAGGAAAATTCCCGGTATCTGCCTGCACAATATAGATTGCAGGAAGGTCGATTATTGGGGGTGTCCCTGCCACGACACATATCATCTACCCGCCGAGATGCGATGCCGGAGTGGGGACCGGTCATGGCGCGGGTCTTGTACATCATGTGGGAACGGGATAGGCTGGTAACCTCCATTATTGGAGAAAGGAACACTGTTGTGGGGGCATTCCGTATGTACCACCCCTGCTTGAATGAACTAGTTGCAGCAGTTGACAGCATGCTCGTAGGTGCTCGGATGCAACGCTTCAAAAACAAGCTCGACAGACGCTGGGGCTTAAATCGAATGTTGGCTGGTCAACAGATAGAGATGGGGTACTGAGCTTTGATGGAATAGTAGGAACATGAAGCAGCATAGGATAGCAGAGGGCATTGGAGTTTGCAAAAGCTCCCGTCTGATAGGCACGCGCAGTTTGACTTGCGGTATGTTGCCATGATGACTTGGAAAGACAAAGGTCAGTGCGGGATGGCGATGAAGCTGTCACGTCTAAGATGGTTTGTAACTCTGGGCGGAACGGGGTAGCACTCGGGCGAGCAAACAATACACGTTCGCTCTCTAGTTGTAGGCGTACTTCCAGAGAGTACAATGGTAAAGCGTTGCTGGCTTTCAAAGCAAGCGTTCATTCGCACGATGCAACAGTATGATTAGCACGGAGATGCGAAAACTTTGGTGCCCTGAATTTCCCCGGGCTGCGTTTTCGAAGGGCGACACAGCGACGCGCTTGATGCATGGAGTACGCATAGCCTCCCAGGTGTCACTTCGAGAGCGTGCTGTGGCAAAGCACGATGACGCGCGACGCGTCTCGGCACAGACCCTCAAAATTTTGGAAAGCCCCGCCACGGTTGAGCCCGCCGCAGCATCAACATGGCGCAACAACACGACCCCAAACGCCTCATTCACAATGTCTGCCTGCGTCGCATGCCAGAAGCCGCTCGAGGTTGAGTTCGAGCCAGAAGACTACGACGAGGATGTGCAGATGGGCGGCTCCTCTGGCAAAGCGCCCGCCGCAGCGCCAGACATGGTGCCCGACGACGTGCACCTGAACTGCGGGTGTCACTTCCACTGGTACAAGCGTCCCCACGCCTCCTGTGCATACACACTGACATTGAACAAAGGGACTGCCTCCTCGAAGCCTACCAAATCACCGAGTGCCCCTCGTGCGGCAAGAACATCGCCTCGACGTCCGCCGCCGGCGCACAGCAAGTCCTCGTCACGCTCAACAACGAAGGCGGCCTGCAAGAAAACCTCGACATCCTGCCCCTCCTCACCGAAGAGTCGTACCTCAAAGCGTACCCGGCCGACCGCAAGTGCCGCGCCTTCCTCGAGTTCTGCCGCGAGGGCGACATGTCCGCCATCATCGGGATGCTGCAGGGCGACAACGAGTCCGACTCGGACTCGGACGACGACATGGCTGACGAGGCCGAGGGCGAGGGCGAGGACACCGCGGACGTCGGCATCGATGCGCTGCTGCGCTACCAGGATCCAATCGGCGACATGCAGTCCGGGCTGCACGCGGCGGTCCAGGCGCAGAGCCGCGAGGTCGCGTGGCTGCTCCTGCTGCTCGCGAGTAATCTCCCGCTGCTGGAGTTCCCGCCCGAGGTTTTCCAGGAGGCCGAGGCGCTGGGCATTATGCGCGGGCTGACGGAGGATAAGACGGACATTAGGAGCATGCGGGATGCGAATGGGAAGACGGCGGAGGATGTCGCGAGGGAGGTGGGCGGCGTGTGGGCCGCGGGGTGGATTGGGAATGGGAGGCTGGCAATTTAAAAATGGGTGGGCTGGGACGTTCAGGTGTGCGGTGGAAGTTTTGATCGATGCTGATGATACCAAAAAGTTATGAAGACATCCTGATTGGGATGGCCGTGAACAAGATACTCAAACATACTAGACGTGTGATCCACGTCCCGTCAAGGCGACGAACTATGGACCGCAATGTGCAAACTTGACATTTCCTAGCACAAGCGTCCATTCACATCAAGTCCCACTCTGGTTTGACCCACTGCATTCAGTCCTGACCTGACATGTGCACACTAACCGTCTCAAGTCCAGGTCCACCGAGGACCCCTCAGAAATTCGCCCGGCTTGAGCTGCAAAAACGCTCCTGTCTACTCCGCCTTCGGTGTGGGATGGTAGGTGGGGGTGGCGGGGCGGAGGGGCGGAGGAGATACAGAGGCAGGTTCGTAGGCTGGCGCGCATGACTCGGGGCTGCGTCTTCGGATTTGTGAGGAACGGCGAGACGCTGGGGGAGCGCGGCTAGATGTCCAGGCTCTCCTTGCAGCTGCTGGTCTCGCTCACTGGAACCCCATCCTCAGAATCCAGGGTTTGCGGCGCTCGAGATCGAGGATGGCTTGCCCGAACAGGCCGTTCGCCCAGCTGAACCACTGCCTGCTCCACACCCCCGCCGTGTGCGCGTGCACGCTTTCGTGCATCAGCCCATACCCATCCGTACTCTGCACCAGCCACCTCAGATTCCTCATAATCTCATTGTCGTCGTCAGAAGTAAGAATGGCCATGATGTTCGCCATCGGCCACGCGCGTCCGGGTAGGGTGTGCATACTCCCCACGCCCGAGATCACGGGGCCCCACGCGTAGTACGGGTTATCCCTGGACAAGATCTTGCGCCGCGTGTTCGCATAGACGGGATTGGTTGCGGATGTAAAATTCAGGAAGGGCGCGGAAAGCAACGACGGGACGTTTGGGTCGTCCATGAGGATGGCGGAGCCGTAGCCGTCGATCTCGTAGGCATATATCGGGCCGTGGTTGGGATCCTTGACGATGGCGTGCGCCTGGATAGCGGTCGTGATGGTCGACGACATGTTGCGCATCCAGGCTGTGAGGTTGGAACCCCGGGGCGAAACGGCGGCCATGATGGGCAAAGAGGCGTTGAGCGCGACAGCGTACATCATGTTGCTCGGGACGAGGTACTGGTAGATACAACTATCATCGCTCGGGCGCTGGAAACTTCGTACCAGCCCGACCGCGCGGTGCGGACTGCCATTGCAGTCGTTGATGGGCGTGCCGCCGTAGGGCGCGCAGTACGTGTATGGCGTGTGCTGCCAGTTTCCTGCTGCGTCGTAGCTGCCTATCATCATCGCCTCCGTGATCTCCAGCACTTTCTTGACAGCGCTGACCCAGGCGTGTTTCCCGAAGAATGCAACGTCGCCCGTCATCCGCAAGTAGTCGGCCGAGAGCTGCAGGAAGGAGGCTACGCTGTCGAGCTCCCACTGGCAGCTGAAGACGGTCATGTAGTCGTAGGGCGGGGATATGGTGTCGCTGTTTGCAGAGCTCTTGCGCATGATTTTGCTTTCTACGGGGGCTTGGAAGGCGTTGCAGAAGGGGTCGCCGAGGATATAGCGAGCTTGGAGATTAATCGCACCCCTGAACAGACTTGCCAGACTGCCTCTTTTGCTTGAGGCGCGCAGGACGGAGGTGTAGGCTTGCAGCTGGTTTGCGCTGTCGCGGAGCCACATGGCCTCTATATCACCCGTGATTACGAAACTCAGCTCTTCTTCGTTATCTTCCTCCAACTTCTTCACGTCTTGCGGGGTGAGCTGGAACTTGTGGGACGCATCCCAGGTGGTTGTTTTGTTCATCACGGGATCCAGCTCGACTATCACGCTCTTGTTCGCAACACCTGTCCACGCAATTGTCGTGTCCAGCGTCGACGGCCACGTATTCTCAAACAATCTGAACAGATCCGGATCTACAATCACCTTGCGCAGTCGCTCAATCGTGTCCTCGACTTCTTGGCTCTTGAACGTGCGGCATGGCGGGATAGGCCGCATAGATGCCAACTGCCATTTGCCCTCCGACAAGGGAAGATGCTTGTGGTAGGCGTAGTTTGTGTAAATGGGGCATTGTGAGTAGACAGGCTGGACGAGGGTGGAAGTCAGAGTGAGGAGTAGCAGGGGTCCAGGGAGCGGGATCCACATTTTGTCCGGTCCGGGGGAGTGCCGGATCGCTGGGTTGGGTTACCGAAGGGGCATTGTTGGGCTGATGGAGGCGCGGGGACTGTGGTTAACAGAGAGGCTGGGTCGATGCTGTAGCACAGGCGTGGGACGAGATCTCGTGTTGGTGCACAGAGTGCAAGGTGGCTTGATGCTGCCAAGCCCGGAGCGGGTCTGGTGGACGCTGGTGGTGAATATTCAAACGCGCTAGGGAAGGGAAAACGGTCGCTAAGGGGGACGAGGACGTGCTATTAGCGCGCAGAGAACAGTATGTTAGCAAAGATTAGATAGGATAGATCGCACGAGAACAAACGCGCGCGGATTGCATTCCTGCTCGGCTTGGCTTCTCCAGGAATATATTAACTGCCAAGACTCTCGGCTCCCTGCCTCAGATCCGGTGCTAGGCACTGAAGCCTCATCGAACACCCCATAGCATGGTTTAGGGGCTGGCAGAGCACCAAAACAGTCCAATGATGATAGAGAACGGAGCGGATACACTATTTCAGATCTACCTTAGGTAGGCTGATTTGAACCAGGATCGACCGTTGGATGGCCATGTGAACTCTGTAAACGAGGAAAATAGTAAGCTTCAAAATTACGAGCTATTGGTCTTCAAACGTAGTCTGATTCGTGCTGTCATGAAGGCGTAGTGTGAAGAGAGATCGTAGATAGAGACTAGAAGCGGAGTTGCGGGGCACCAAACGCGGAAGGTGTGCTTGGCAGAACCAAGCCCCTCAAGTCGTCGGAGCTTCGTCTTTAGCGTCTCCAACTCATCACAATCGTCCATTTGCCTTCATCATCATATACTCATTGTAACGGACGTATCTCACGAGGCACATGCCGGCTGTTGTGAATCAATTAGTATATATTTGAAGCTGTCCACCATGTGCGGCGACGCTCCTTGTATGCATCTCGTGCGGATTAGCGACTTACAGCCATTTCGGCGATGCTGTGTCCGACGATGCAGCATCTCATGTAAATATGATTACTGGATTGAGGCTGGTGTGCTTATCGAAGTCTTGACACGATTGACCCTGGGTTCACTCAGGCTACTACGAGGAAACAGGATCTGGACGTGATGCCGTATCACCGGCGTTCAGCATCACGCGATAACCAACGGCGGGATTCGCAAAACGCTGCCAGATCCTGCATGACACCTGCCTCTCGCGGGTGAAACATCGTCATGGTCTTCTTCACGGATCTCGCTATGTCACTGCACGCGCATGATTGGTAAAGATGTCTTGTCAATCCTTACGATTATTCTTTAGCTTGTTGCTATTTCGCTTTTCAGGTGAAAACGCGAATTGCTTGTTACTGGCGACATTCGGAATAAGCATCACTTGACAGACGCATAACAGTGTTTCTGTTCACTAAAACGTCGTGACGGCGTGAATGCATTAAATTTACGGAATGGGATTCGTCTTACAGAAGAGTGTTCAAATCCCCGTTTTCGGCAATCTAGATGTCAGACATCCCCCACAATACTGGGGCAAAGATCCCACGGGCAAAGCTTCCCACCCAACCAAGGATCGATCGCCAGCACCGAATCACCATCCCCCTTGCGCGTGCGTCTCCATGCAGCGATTGCTGTAGCACTAGGGGCTTCATCAAGCAAAGCTTCTCCAGGTATCATTGAGACCTTTGGGATACGGCGCTCGTAATTTGGGCACGACAACGGCGAAGTCAATATTGGATCACGTCTCACTCAAAGGTTGCCTCTTCAGAATTTCTTCGATGCTACGGAAATGTCCTCGACTGGGCCAATCGACAGCATATCGTGGAATCTTGATGCTAACAGTGAAAAGGGTGCGAGGGCAGCGATGCATGTGGATCATGGAAGAAAACAGGTTTGGTCATTCGTTATAAGTTGTCGTCAGTGTACGCCCAACGACCACCTCGTGTACATGTCTCCGTCCATCGATGCATGACCGACTCATCCTTAATGGACGCCTTGAAGCCAAATCTCCACCCACTACCAATGGGCGATGACAACGAGGTCTCCAGGGTTTCCCAGACTGGAAATTCGTCGGAAATTCGTCAATCAGAAGACTCTTCTCGATGGCCCCCATGTAACCGTATGCACAGTGTGCGTAATTCCATCCCATGTGCCATGGGTGGCGATGAAGAGTCACGTTTGCGACGTTGAAGGTGGCACCGGCCGTACATTGTGGGACTAAAGATAGAGGCTCAGTAGGGCAAGTCAACACTGGTCGCTTCTCATCCCGTGTTTCTATCGGAGGCGAACCCTGTACCTTGAGTCTCAATGTACGAGGCGTCTCATTGCATAGTAGGTGGTATACTAATTTAGGGCGATATTTGCAGTTCTCGATCGCTTTGAGGATGTTATTATCGTTGCGTACACGGTCTTCGATCGTGTTGGACGAGTGTTGTCATTTACCGCACATTGGATCATCTAGAGAAGCCAATGAGAGTGGGCCTTTTCAGGCAAAGATCTGGGTCTCGCAGATCAAGCATAAAACTTTAATTACGTAGTTTGTATCTAGGCCAGGAATTCCGTATCGGGCGCGATTCTACTTTGTAGATCGCGCGCTGAACAAATCAGACATTCACCAACCGATGTGGCGTAGCGCAAGCATCTGTTACCAGACGATCCCTGCCTGTTTGTTTCTGAGAAGGGAATGCACAAGCGGGACGTAGAGTTAGCCTCCCAGGTACCACCCCGTTTAAAGCTTTAGGCATCCCGCCAAATTTCGGAATTAGATCTTGCCGTCGGCGGTGCAGTGACATACCACGCCAAAACCTTCCCACATGTATAGTATCCTGCACAAGTTTTTCATGAGCAGCAGCGGCATACTCCGATGGGCAAACCAGGCATGTCTTCCAAAGGCTGAGCCTACTCGACATTGCGCTGTCACCGCTGATGTCACTAATCGCCTTGTAAGATGTGTATGCGCAGCCTCAGCTCCTCAAGATGTCAAGTGTATGTATAAATGGTAGGCGCCTCGACTTGGAGAAAGACATCACGATCCCACCAGATCCGAAACTCCTAGAGAATCTTTGCAATCCCCATCCTATCATCCAACCTCACCAGCTCACCAGCGCTTCTATCCCTAAAACTCGAAATGAGATTAACCAGCGCTATCACCATCCTCCTTACGGCGACTGCACTGGCCACGCCTGCGCCTGCTGCGAACCCAGAACCATCAGACGTCGTCGCCAACGCGCCATCATACGCCCCCGAAGTTGATGCACGCGCCGCAGACTTCGTCGCAGCTCGGGATCCAAATAAGAAGAAGCCCAAGAAGAACGACCACAACCTCACGAGCGGCAACGACACAGACAGCGCGGCACCCATTCTGACATCGAATGTTGTACTCGAGCTTGGTGCTCTTGGGGTGGGCATGATGCTCTGGATGTGAGGATGTGGATTGCTCAAGACACAATGTCGGGCGACTGGGCATTTGGAAAGGGGGATGATGCTGGAACATGTTTGCTACTACGATCTAGGTTCTAATAGCGGTGCATGAGGGTACTCACGGTGAGAGTACGACTATCAATCACTGTAATAAGCGAATGACACTGTGTTTCTGTTACACATCATCCATGGTACCATACCTCATGTGTGACGAAAGCATCGAATTGAAACAGTGCCCCCTTTTGTCTATGATGTCTAGACCCTGAAGGCTACTTACCCTGCACAAACTCATTCTAGGGTTTTACGCAAGTGCTAGCTAGGCAGCAGCGCTGTAGTGATCATTGAGTAGGCGGAGCTGGGAGGTTAACGTGGCACCGGATAAGGTGCTGTACAAAGGCAAAGTCTCCCCCCACACACTGCTACCTCGCATGAAGGTGCTCAACAAATTCCTAACTCAGGGTTTATTCAGCAGCCTGCCCGACATGACACCGTCTCAAGGTCTGGGCTGTCGGGGCCTTGTAAGCATTCGACATTGATGGGCAAACGACTAGCGGAGTGCGGTCAGCTCACCCGAGAACAAGCTGAGTAAGTCAGGGTTCATTCCAGATATCAAGGGTGCTCAAGCAAGGTCATGTTGTTTCCAACATCAAAACTCTGGCTGGTCTGATTCTATAGCAGAAATGGGGACACTGTGTAAGGCATACCAAAATAATACACGGTGAAGCAGTGACCTTAAGCGAGTGCGAAGCTAGCTGAAACTCATCCCAGCCAGCCATGACATTCTCGCAACTCTTTTCGGTCCGACTAACTCAGACGAAGCTCTCGCGACTGCGTTCATCGCTGACTAGTGTGCTCTCATTTGGAGGGCTGTGCTGGCCGATGATCAACCCCAAAATGCTCGATACCTTGATGACTTCTCTTTAAGCAACGAAATAACGGGAAACGATAAACGTGCTCAGCCGCTGCCACTTTGCTTGTTGGCTTCATTGAGCATAGACATTTCTCTAAGCCCCTTAAGATGAGGTTTCCGCGGACACGGGTGTATCCTGGCTGGTACCCATGGTAAGCTTAATCAGTACCAAAATTCCGCCCCACGCCCTAAGGGACCACGCGATTACATCTGTCGGCCGTCTTTACAGCACTCACCGCCCACGTGGTTCCGAGTCTTGACGTGCGAACAGACAGCGCTCGTGCGGTTGGCTCTGCCTGACATCCTTTTGCGACTGGCGACGAAATTTGTTTCTACAGCCAGACAAGGAGATAGATCTATTTCCCTGAGATCGGTCAATGGCCAGCGATCCTCAGCGCCAGTCGACCTATGCCACGCCGTCAACAAAGCTGATCTATTCAAGGCATACCTTATTCATCTACATCAGCCCTCCGCATGGACGCGGCCCCACCTCGCTCACACTTTGAATTTCCCCATCGGGGCAAAAGAGTGCAGGTGCATCCCAAGGCTGTGCCGTCATTAAGCTTCAAGCGCGGGCTTGTTCAGCGTTCCGCTCGACGCCGCCAAGCCTGCTAAATCCGCGCCAAGTGCCAGCATCATGGGGTCCAGATGTCTGATTGGTCGGGGGTCTCCGACGTCATAGCGCTGCGCAGCCTGCGCTGGCGATACCTTCTACAATGCCCTTGGTGCGAGGGGGGATGGGTTGCCTGTGACGTCCTGGCTGTGCTACTGATCGCTGCTGTGTAGGATGTTGGCGATGCCTTGGGTTGTAGAGCTGAAGTCATAGCCTAGGAGATTTATATAAGGTAGGATGAAGGTGTGATGGAGGGCCACTGAATATCCAACCATCCCATCTTCTAGGATTATATCCCACCCTTAGCATCACTTCCAAGAGGCTCTCTAACGTCCATCTACATACCATTCTCCACCCCTCCTACATTTCAGAGGACCATCACCATTCCAACCTCAATCCTCAAAGTCCACCTTTAAGGAGAATCCGACGACTCTGCTATTTCCTTTCGCTCACCATTACTACACAATCAAGATGAGACCCGCGGCAGCGTTCACCATTATGTTCGCCGCCACCACCCTCGCCACTCCCGCACCCAAGCCCCTCGCGGACCCTTCTCTCGAAGTCCTCACCGATGCACCGTCTTTCGCGCCGGAAGTTGACGCGCGCGCCGCCGCTTTCCTCGAAGCTCGCGACCCAAAAAGCGGAAGTAGCAGCTCCAGCTCCAGCAGCAGCGGCGGCAAGAGCAGCTCCGGAAGTAAGAGCAGTTCCGGGAGCAAGACGGGGAGCAAAATCGGCAAGAGTGGCAACAAATCCGGAAACGACTCGGACAGCGCGGCGGCGATGCTGACTTCGAACGTCGTGCTTGAGCTTGGCGCCCTGGGTTTGGGCGTTTTGCTTTGGGTGTGAGTGGAGGGGAGGAAGGGAGTGTACGATATGACGAAGTCAACTTCTGGGTGGAAGACTGCACGACGACCAGAGCGCTGTTCCGGGCGAACTAGCAATGGCCTTCGCACCGTCGCGTGCATGCGTGGAGCATGCATGCACTACACCACAAGCGATCGAACCTGTACGACTATAACGAATGCGTCGATCTTGTCCCAGCGTTTTTTTCCAGCGATTTCTTAGCGTGTTTTCAGCGCTCGATACCACTTATGTTACCACGAATCTCATCACCCAATTTCATGTCGTTGCTCAAAAACCTGTTCGCCGTGCTCTATGATCCCTTTGCTCGCATGCTCTGTGCACGTCATATGCTGTGTAGGATCGCTTAGCTTTCTCGTATTCCCATGTCGACTTCCTGTCCTGGGCAGTGATCAGCTCTGTTACACAGACCATTGAGTGGCCTTGCTTCGAGCTCAGCCCGCCTAGGAGTGTCGTGAGGCTTGCACAGTAAGGTCGCTTGGGCGCGCCTGCAATGAGCAGTCACCTTCGCACTGGGTTGTCATGACGCCCGGCGTCAAGCGCGAGATCGGGCTCACCTGGATTGCGATTCCAACAACACTTGGACTCGGCCGCTATTTCAGCTCGACTACCAATCGACCCTCAACTGACTTCTCCATGGCAGAACCCACTGCAGACGACAATACAGCGATGGAACGCAGAGACTCTTCCCCGAACTCAACCTCGTTCAACCACCACCAGGTTCTCCCCAGCGTCTTCGTATGCAACCAAGGCAGCAACTGTGAAGTGAATGGACGAAGCCTGCGCTTGTCAAGATGCACATTACGCGCGCGCAGACCGGGTCTGCAGCACAGAGACTCTCCCCGAATTCCACCTACCGGACCTGAAAAAGTATCTCTGTATGTCTGGCTCGATATCTGGGCACAATGACGCTCCTCGCCGCCTCCACCGTCCAGCTCGTCTTGCTCAGCACAGAGCAGACTCAAGCCTGCCAGTGCCAGCGTGCTTATGCCGTGTTCTTCGGGTTTCTGCTTGCTCGAACTGTGGCCACGTCGCGGTGGAGCTTCTGCTTGTTTGGAAAAGCAGCGCAGAGCCTGGCTGGACGGTCTGGGCCGTTCCTCGCTGTAGAGCCACCACGGGGGCTGGCCAAGGTGTGCTCCATTCGATCTTCTGCCGGCCAATTCCCTCTGTGGCTACGACCCCAAGAATCTGTATCTGTAGAGTTCACAGGCAGGCGTCGTTCTTCGGCTTAGTACTCCACATACATACTTGACATCGCCCTAGCGGACGAACATATCGTTCCAAACCCTACCTAACAGCCCACAGAACGAGGAGTCACAGAGTCTCAAGGACTAACATAACCTCGCTTGAATCTTGATAACTAATTAAGAGCTTGCTTTGGTCGACGCTGACGATGCGTTGCCCCGCAGCATGAACAGTGGTCGCCTAGCGGAGCTTTTCATTCATCTGTGGCATCAAAGACGCGTGCTATATAAAGGCTAGGCGAAACACGAGAAGCGCAACGCAGGAGAGCCATGAACACACTGACTCGAGTCTATCAGAAGTTTACGGGGCCGTCTCCACCTCAAGCTCCGATGATATGTCCTGGAAACCTCCGACGTCAGTCCGCACCCGTCCATACCGGCGGCCCAGGCACGACATAGCCCGCGTGGTCCGGACCCGTGTGGATGTTCAGCGTCAACCCCGGCTCATCCCCCTTGTACAAGGTCCTCGCATCCACCCCCCCGCTCACTTGCACCGTCCCGCCCCCTTCAACCTTCAAGCTCACGCACTGCGGATAAAACTCCGCGCCGTCGAGAGAATACGGCCCCGTGCTCGTGAACGCAACGTGCAGCGCGATGATCTCGTGCCTGAGCACATACTCGCCGGGCGCGAGGTTGGGGGGCACGCGGATGGTCCTGGGAGCGCGCGAGGCCGTCAGTCACAAGCGGTGGATGGCGGGGGAACGGGACGGCACATACCAAGACCCGTTGTTCGCAATCATCTCGTCCGTCGCCCAGTACCCCTCCTGGTACACGGTGCCGTTGACCCAGCCCCGCTCCGCAATCTTGACGAACCTCAGCGCCGCCATGTCCACGTCCTCGCAGCGCCCGTTGCAGCTCGCCAGATAACTGAGAATCGGCCCGTGGTGCCCCACCGGCCACGCCTGGTCGACCATCCACCAGCGCACCCGCACGTCCGCGCCCGCAGCAACGGGCGCGCTCATGTTGGCGTTGGAGCCGCCTTTTGCGCAGATGATTTGCGGGCGGTTGGCGTCAGAGGGGTGCAGCGGGCCGCCGCCGGCGTTGGTGGTGTACCAGGCTGGGGTGTCGGGGGGATAGGACGTCAGGTTGCCGTTTGCGTTCCAGCCCGGGTAGCGGTGGCCGTTGGACCAGATGTCGTAGATCATGCCGTGGGCGAGGGCGACAGGGAGGCATGATGCGAGGAGGAAGAGCGCGTGAGGGGCCATCGTCTTTGGATTTTCGGATCGGGGTCTTGCTGAGGTGGGTGATGGGGACCAAGACGGTGCCTGGCTGCGAGACTACCCACCACATGGGTCATGTCTGCATACATCTCTCGCGATCCATCGGCCCGGGGTCAATCTACTCGAGTTAAACTCGCTCAGTGCTGTGCGAGGCATTTGGCTGGTACTAATAACGGTGAGATCAGCAGGATCTGGCTAATATGGCTTTGATGAACGGTCACATGATGCCCCAATCTATCCCACGTCAAGGTCTCAGAACACGAAACAGTTTTGCATGGGCCAGGTTGGCTCCGAGTCTCGTCTTCGAGTACCGTAGTAGAGAGCGCTTAATACCGATGCGATATCCGTCCGTCTTCGAGTACCGTAGTAGAGAGCGCTTAATACCGATGCGATATCCGTCTCGTCAGCCGCCACATCCCACTCACCATGTAGACCATCACAGGTCCGCCTCTCTCGAGCGTCCCACCTGGACAATGCCAGCACACTTTTTTCGCTCCTAACCTGCCTCTGAATCTCATCCGCCCCGCAGCCCCGCCGCTTCGCCTCCCCCACCCACCCGTCCTTCCGTCACATGACGCCCCAATCTATCCCACGTCCAGGTCTCGGAGCGCAAAACACCCTTGCATGGGTCCGTTTGGTTCCGAGGTCGCGTCTTGATCATTTGTACGCGGAGGGGTATTGCTTCTTTCTACTGGCGGGACCCAGGTTCGGCAATGTTGTTGAATTCATTTTTGGTCGTACCACCACTTCACCGCGGCCCCTTGACAATGCTCCTCGCAAAGCTCCTCTCGTCGGCGCTAAGCACCCACGCGATGCCCGAGTCGCCTGTCTCTTCCGCGCACACCTCCTCCCACTCGTCGTCCTCCATGTTCATGATCAGCGTCATCTGCGTGCACTTGGTGAAGGCGTCGCGCAGCGCGTACTTGCCGCCTCCCACCGCTGCCGTGACAATGCCCGAGATGTCGCGCTCGAGACGCACGGCCCCCAGCTCGTTGACTAGCCCGTGCTGTCCTTTGATGCGCTTCTCCAGTGCGCTGGCTAGATACGCGAGCGCGACAGAAAGGAGGCGGTCGAAGTTGGCGGTGGTGAGAATGCGCTTGATGGGCCGGATGAGCGCCCCCCAGCCGCGGTCAAAGCGCGCCTTTACCAGGTCTGCATCGTCTTCCTCTCCATCTTCGCCGTTGGCCTCGTCCTCCGAGGGGCGGTAGTTGATATCGCGAAAGGCCTCGGCGAGGATGGGCCGGACGCGGGGTTTCAGGACGGTGTGGAAGGCGACTTGGATGCCGTCGTTGAGCAGCTCGCCGCTGTTGACAGCGAAAGAATGTTCGAGGTTCCTCAGCTTTGTTTCTACGAATTTTGCATCGTGGCCAAAGGGGAAGAGGTTCTCCTGGGGGGAATTGGACGAGTCGGAGCGAGGGCCGCCAAGCTGCTGCTCGACGATGCGTTTAATGTACTCGTTGGAGACGTCGAGGTTGTTGATGAGGACAAGGAAGGCGATGACCTTGTCTTCTGGGGGGAGGCCGCCTTGGATGATGGGGCGGGGGTAGCTCTCGTCGCGCATCTTGCGCTGGATCATGCCGATGAAGTCGGTCCCTAGGAGGCTGCCGACGGTAGGGACGACGTTGGCGATGACGTCGCGCTGGGAGGTCGCTAACGCGCGCTGCAGCACTTGGTTCAGGATGTACATGACGGTGTCGACAGCCGTGGTGATGAAGGGCGGTTCGGCGCTGAGGGGCTTGGCAGGGTTGAGATTGAGGCCTGACGGCGACTGGTCCATCTGGAAGGCCTTCTCCACGGAGCGTCTGAAGAAAAAGGTGGTCATGAAGTTGAAGGGCTCGATCAGGTGGCTGGAGACCTTTCGGTGCAGGTTGCTGGTGGCTAGGAATTGGGGCATTACGAGGCCATGGTCGATGCGATCTTCAGGCTGGGAAGGCTAGAGATGTAAGAAAAATGGCACGACGGGGAAAGAAGCACATACTGCGCACTTGTCGGAAATGAAGCGGGCGTAGAGAGCCCAGCGGCCGAGCATGAGGGCGCACTCTGCGAGTAGGCCATCGACCTCCTTCATGTCGACGCCTTCATCTTCGCTGGTACGTGGAGCTGGGTTGGCTGGGGAATTGGACCGGGGGTTTCCACTGGCGGGTTTGAAGCTCTGCAACAGGAACGAATAAGCATATGACTTGATGTCGGTCAGTTTACGGTCGATGCTGCGCTCGTCGTGCCATGTGTCCAAGACGATACCCCCTTGGACATCGGCCTCGACCTGCAGGCGCTCGATGACCTTTGCCATCATGCCAGGGCCGTAATGGCGTTCTACGAGGGGCTCGTGGCCGTCTACAATCTGGGCGATGTGCTCGAACAGCTTGGTGAGGGTCTGGCCGTAGAAGTAGCTCTCCTGGCGCTGGGCCAGCGGGGCGCCGTTGAAGTTTGTGCGGGCTCTCGCAGCAACGCCCTGGCACACGTAGCGGCCGTATGCATCGAGTCCCGTGTCTGTCCGCCCGATCAGGGGGAACAGCTTGAAGAACCTCGTGACGCGTGAGCCGTCGCCGTCGGCAGCCGCCTTTTCAAACTCGCGCAGGAACAGGCCGCACAGCGACTCGGCGGCGGCATCGAGCGTCTGGCGTGGCGGGTCGGGGACGTCGGCCGTGGGGACGATCTCTTCGGCGAAGGTGCCGTCGATGACCTCGTCGGGGATTCTGGCTGCGCGGCTGAGGTACGCGGCGGCCGTCTCCCAGTCCTGCGGGGCGCCCATGGAGCCATGCACGCCCAGCACGCACGCCTTGAGCTCGGCGACCTGCTCGACGACGTCGAGGGTGGCCCTGACGTTGGCCTGCTCGTGGTCCAGGCGCTTGACGGCGCGCGAGATGCGGTTCGCGGTGGAGGCGGCGTCGGAGAGCATGGCATGGCTGATGGCGCGCGTGTTGACGACGTGGGTGCCGAGGTGGGCGCGCAGCAGGTCGAGGCGGCCGAGCTCGCGGGAGAGGTCCTTCTGCGAGGCCACGAGGGCGTCGAGGCGCTGCGTCACGGCGGCCTCGTGCTGGTGCAGCGCGGCCAGCGCGGCGTGGATCTCGGCGACCGACGCGGCTGCGTAGACGTCGAGGGCGGGCGCGGGGGCGCCGTTGCCGTTGTCCATGCTCGCGGCGGGCGCGGGGTGCGATGGGCGCGTTGTCGATGGGCGTCGTGGGCGGCTGCAAGGGTTGGCTGGGTGGACGACGACCTGGATGGCGCTGCTGCAGGGGCCGCCGCCGCCGTCGCCCATGAAACCTGGAAGACGGCCGGCCGCGACGCACAGCGCCAGCCTCGCCGTGCGCACAGGCTCGACGGCCACGCTCCCTGCCCCGGCGTGCCGTTGCTATACCCACTCGAACCGCTTGTTTGTTTGCATCGCATCCACACGGCTGCCTGCGAGACTTCTGCGGCTGCTCCTCTGCTCCCGCTCCCTCTGCTATTTCCAGCACGCCTGGCGGACCCGTCTAGACGCCCGCCTGCATACGCCGCACCGCTACGACGCAGGCGCAGCGCCCGCTAAATCGAGCACAGCTGCGCAGCGGCGACCGGGACATACAAACGTCGCTCGGGCGCTCACGTCGGCCGTCTCAGTCTTCTTTCGACGCATTCCTCGCCAGCTGTGCAACCACGGGCTCGCGCGACGGCCTCTCCGCAAACACATTGCCCGTTACGTCGAGGCCCGAGTCTGTGCCCGCGAGCACCACCACGACGCCGGCGCAGACGCAATCGCTCTGTTCCCCCACATGCCTTCGACGGCCACGCCGCTGCCCTGAGAACCGAGCCTCTTCGCTGCCGTCCGGACGCGCTGCTGCTGGCTGCGCTGCGAGCATCCGCCGCCGCCGCCCGCAACCCTGCCGCGGGACCTCCGCGCGCCCGCCGCCATGGACTCGGCTGGCCAGCTGCTCCACGATGCCCACCACCTCTACCACCGCTCCGGCGGCATGGGCGGCGACACGTCGTCCCGCCCGCCTGCCTACAAAATCGTCGGCATAATCCTCGCCATCTCCTCGGGCCTGTTCATCGGCGTGTCCTTTGTCCTGAAGAAGCACGGCCTGCTCAAGGCAAACGAAAAGTACAATGAGGCCGCCGGCGACGGCTACGGATACCTCAAGAACTTCTGGTGGTGGTCGGGCATGACGCTCATGATCATCGGCGAGATCTGCAACTTTGTCGCCTACGCCTTTGTCGACGCCATCCTCGTCACGCCCATGGGGGCGCTGACCGTCGTGGTCGCCGCAATCCTGTCCGCCATCTTCCTCAAGGAGCGCTTGAGTTTTGTCGGCAAGATTGGCTGCGTCAACTGCATCATTGGCTCCATCATCATTGCTCTCAATGCCCCGCAGCAGTCTGCCGTGTCCAACATCCAGGACATGAAGAAACTCGTCATTGCGCCCGGCTTCCTCGTGTACGGCGGCGTCGTCATTGTGGCCAGTGTCGTCATTGCTCTCTGGCTGGGGCCCAAGTACGGAAAGAAGTCTATGATGGTATATCTTACCATCTGCAGTCTGATCGGCGGCCTCAGTGTCGTGGCGACGCAGGGTCTCGGGGCCGCCATCATTGCCCAGATCAACGGCCAGTCCCAGTTCAAGGAATGGTTCCTATACGTCTTACTCGTGTTTGTCATCAGTACCCTGCTCACCGAAATCATATACCTCAATGTGAGTCTTCCGTGGTCATGCCTCGGTCCGTGCTAACAGTTCCCAGAAAGCGCTCAACTTGTTCAACGCCGCCCTGGTCACCCCTACATACTACGTCTTCTTCACGTCTGCCACCATCGTCACCTCCGCCATCCTGTTCCAAGGTTTCAAGGGCACAGTCATCAGCATCACCACCATCATCATGGGCTTCCTGCAGATCTGCACGGGCGTCGTCCTGCTGCAACTCTCCAAATCGGCCAAGGACGTACCCGACGCTGCCGTGTTCAAGGGCGATCTCGACCAAGTCCGCACCGTCGCTGAACAAGAAGAGCCCGAATACGAGCCAAGAGCAGACACCATCCGCGGTGGCGGTGCCATCCTGCGTTCCATCTCCAGGGCGAGGAGCGAGAAGCAGCTCCAGGAGGTGAAGAAACTACACGAAGAGCACATGCAGCCCATTGGCGAAGGCGAAACGGTCGAATTCGATGGCCTACGCAGACGAAAAACCGTGCTCGACCCCAACCGCCCGCCCACACGAAGCGCCACCGTCGTCCACAAAACGGTCCACCCCCCACTCGGCATGTCGCACTTCCCCGAAGACGACTCCGACTCGGACAACGACACCGCCTACCACCCGGGCTTCTTCCAGCGTCTCCGCTCGCGCGGCAAATCGACAAGCAGCTCCAACCATCCCAGAGACATGGACCTCGAGTCCCTGCCGCCCACCACCGCCGACAGCCCCTCAAAGAACTACATGCACACCGACACCGCCTACAAGCCGCACGACACCACCATTCAGTTCGGCACCCTCCCGCACCCGCCGCACCCGCACGACCCCGACTTCGAGGACGCCCCCGGCGAACTGCATCCCCCCCGCCCGCCCCCGCACATTGCAAAGCGCCAGTTCTCCTTCCAAAACGTCTTCAGCCGCAAGCGCAGCGAGTCTGGCGCGGGTAGCTCCGTCACCTCGCGGCCCGTCAGCCGGCATAGTCGGAAGGGCAGCCACAATGCCAAGGAAGCCACCGAGGAGGAGCGGCTGGGGCTCGTCAAGGGCGACTCCCGCATCTTGGGGCCTATACCGAGTCGCGATAGTCGCGAGGGGAGTCCGCCGGGGTATACGGATGAGGAGGGGGAGTGGGTGGTCGGTGGGAGGAGTATGAGCCCGGAAAGAGCGATGAGTCCGGGGCGGGGGAGCAGTGGGGGTGCGCAGCTGAGGAGGGTGGACACCGAGGAGTGGGATCCCGAGGACGACAAGGAGTTTGAGACGAGGAAGCCGAGTGGGCCTGGGGCGTTTATATGAAGGAAGAGGGAGGAGATGGGAAGCGAGGCGAGGACATTGTTTTGATTTGAGCGCATGATACCAACGCGATGCGACGCAAGTCGAAGCGATGCCATTCCGACTGTCTTGGGATTCTTTTGGATATCAGCGCGGCGTTGGACGGGGTGTACGATAGCGAGACAAGAGGTATCATACATGCGAGGAGAGGGAGACGTGTGTATACAGCTAGCAACGGCGAGCCAGCAGGGCCGTGGCATTGGCAGTCACGAGGTTACGATGTACATGTAATGAAAGTCTCTTGTCTTCACGTCCGAGTCGCAGCTACACCACAGGGACGTTCCCTCTCCCGAAACCGAGACAAACTACCAAGTCCATCTCTCAGGCAGCGTCCCGTCCTGCAGATCCAACCGACTGTCTCACCCCACGCACAAACCTGCCCCCGCCTACCCTCCATTTCGCGGGTTCGTTGAAATCAACGAAAACCTGTCCAGGTTGCTGGATGGTCTGGCCGAGCCAGTGGTTGCGTCGGATGGCGTGCGCACTCCAAGGTATGCAGCGTAGTGCCGCGTTTACTCCCCAGAAGCGCAGGTCACTAGCTGCGTCAAACACGGGAAGGGCTGGTACGGGAAGTGCAGGGTGAGGGTGAGGCGGTGGCTGGGCTGGGCAGGGCATCTGGGCAGACTGGCTGCAGGGCGACTGGCGATGAGTGCGTGAGCCGTGGGGTGAATTTTTCAAGAGTTGCATATCGGTGGCTTGGATGCGTGGTGGCTGGACCGTGGTGGGATGGGGTTGGGAACTCACATCAGACACTGAGGTCGGACCTGGCGCAGCGTGGGCGGGTTGGGTCTTAGTTTGGATCCATCTGCGATGTGGAGCCTCCGTCTCGGGTGCACTGGATGGGGTTGCACATTCTCGTAGCAGGACCGCGCGTTTCAAAGCTGCTTGCAGCAGACCCGTAATATCCATCACTGTGTGCAGGAAAACCCTCTGAGAAGGAAAATTACAGGGCTACTTTGACTTTGGATGTGGAATACACCACAATCACTTTATTAGTAGCTGTCAAATGCAGTAGGCGTCTACTATAAGTTCTTGAGCATATCCAGAGCTAGCTTGGACCCGTATATTACGATTCTGTTGATGTATTCCAAGCCATCTCCTAAAGAGCCTCAATTTGTTGCATCGCAGCAATCACTATTATTAGCGATAGGAGCCTGCATGCACTGCTCAAAATCCTAAGTATGAGATCTTACTTAGTCTTCTTGACACCTTTGCAGCGTCCCGAAGCTATCTTAGCCTTGTAATAGATGTGGCATGCAAGATTATGCGCCGTCTCCACCCTAGTTAAGTACTTTGAAATAACGCAAGTGCTACTCCTAGCTAGCGTGATATAGTTACTGATAACGAGCTAGCCATAATTATAGGAATCTACAGTAGTAATATGGTAAACTAAAGGCGTAGCTCAAAGCAAGTGGCTGGATCCTGGTCTCCAGTGCTTTACGTTGAGGCATCGTAGTAGTCAAGCACTGGACCGTGTGATACCAACGACGTAATCAAACATCAGACCCGCGCGACCTGTCCCAAAGCAGAGGAAGAGTCTGCGCACAACACCCGCCGGGACCCGCTTCTGGCGTGGCTTTGTGCACGCAGAAGTGAGATGGGGTCAGGGTAGCATGCGCGCGACTCACTCACTCACTCACCCCTACCAACACACTTGTAGTACTGCATATACCCACATAGTCTAGAGTCAATGGCCAGATCAAACAAGAAATCGAGAACTCGGTTTTTTGAGCCGGGCCTCGAAGTGGCTTCTGGTTTCTGGCGCTTCATTGAAGTCGCAAAAAGATGGATGGGGCAGCGCGTGGGTTCGGGGATGTATGGTCGTCTACGTGCAGAATGGAAGGGCGTGTACAAGCGTAGAGGGGTGGGATGCAGGATTGGGCAGGACGAGCAGCAACGAAAGGCGGCACATACTCGGTGTACCACATGTTGGCGTGAGCAGCTGTCGGGATAGCGGAAAGGCATGGCTGGGGAGTAGCGGTGGCGCGCGGGGGTATGGTGGTTGCGTCTAGGATAGAGTGGAGATGGCTTTGGAGACAACGGGAACTAGGGCGATGTAGGCCGTAGATTTATTAGCGATTGAAGTTGGGGGGTCTCATCTCGACTGTGATTAGATGCCAGGGTTGGAGATCAGGGTTAGATGCAGAGTCGGATTAGAGCGGGTTGAAGGAGTTTTGGCTAACATTGGCGTTGAAAAGAGAGTCCAAGTGGCAAGGTGCAACAGAGAACGAGGCTGGTTAACTGTTTTGGCTCAATAATGAGGCTGAGGAGCAGTCGGTTGTAAACAATAGGTTGACGAAGTGGTTACTTTACTAGTGGAACTCGCCAGTTCTTGTTGCGGATTATGTAATCGACAGGAGTCCGCGGGTTGACTGTGGGTCTCAAACGCATGGGTCGAAATCTAGTAGGCGCAATCTTTAAGTTGAATGCGCAGTGGAAAGTGCACGTTGAATCTCCACATTAGAACTCCAAGGTCAACTCGCGCCTCGAGTTGCGAGAGCATGTGAGATTTCGTGATGACACCAGCAACGGTATTTGGTCATCGCTTTGCCATGCTAGTCGTATTTTAGAGCAGTATTTCACGACGTTGCGGACATTCTATACACGCGGTGCGACTAAGCGTCTGTGCGCATTACGAAGTCCGCTCGAGCACGTGAGCGCAGTCGCCAAGCGCTGTGACACCTGAACGAAGGTCACCGGGGGGCCAGATGAGCTCCGGAGGGCATGCAAAAACCTCGTGCGGTAGATGTCGTCGATTCGCTCCTAGTAGGTATGATATGGCGCGCTGTCTATCTAATGTGGAAAAGAGCTCGAGAGGTATTTCCAGCATGTCCTGCCTGACCTTGGCGGAAGTGCCAACATTGCAAGGCCATGTTTGCGCACCGTAGCTCTGCGAATGTAAGCCGATGAAGGCAATCAATAACATCTGAACCAGGGCGATGCTTCGCGATTTCGCATTCTGAGTGAGCACGGTGTGAAACGGCGGAGGGCCGCTGGATAAGAAGGTTTATGTCGCAGAAGAGAACACGCCAGGGCTGTGCCAAACGCATGGTGCGATGAGGTTGCAGCGCCGAAAGCTATGGAAATTAGATGGCCCGGGCGGGGGAGGCTTATCCGTCCGGAGATATAATTGTGGCAGGCGAGTGAAGGGCTGCTAAGATGAGCCTGCGAAGTCCGATGGGCGTGGCGGCGCGATGTCCGAAGGTTGGACGGTTCCGGCACTGTTGCTGTGCTGCGAGATATTGACGCGAGCAAAGCAGTGAATAAGCGGTATCACAGCAAGACGATGTTGGAAGACAAAAATGATTAGCTGGGTAGTAAGTAAATGGATGAACTTCTCACACATTGAAGTTGTCGGTCGGGTTTGCAACGCGTAAGGGTCGGATCTCTCAGCCCCCCGACCCCACATGGCAGACGAAGCGAGTGCACTTGACCCGATTCATCCCTAGCTCCTAAGCCCGCATGGAAGTCGCAGCGATCGCTCACGTTTGATCTTCCATCCTCTCTCCAAACTCCTACCCGTTTTCTACAGTGGCCCACTTCGGCCCAATAATAGCTATCGTGAGCATGCGTCCGACCGTGCCTCCGGACGTTCAGTCCTTTGCACTAATCTCGTTTCGGGCCCATGAAACGGGCCTGCGCATGCCATCTTGTAGGGCATCCAGTTCGCACATTGGCTAGTGTGAGTCCTGGGGCGTGTACCCTGTCAGATGGACTTTGGCTCAGATGGACGCAAGCAATACCGAGCAGGATCTTGTCCGGTGGATCAGCAGCCAGTAGCCTACTGCGCCGCCATGAGGGCATTATACAAACGGCGTTCCCTCCCGGGCTCGACGTGATCTCACAGGCTTCTTGCATTGCACTTGGTGTGTTGCGTTCTCTCTTTTTTCATTCAGTCGTTCTTTTGTCTAGAGCTTCATCCCGAAAGGGCAGCTCTTCGTCCATTCGCTCTATAGTACTCTCTGCGAGGTACTCGATTCACAGTCTTTTCTTATACCCAACATTTCACATTAAGATACACATTTGAAAGCATTTTACATCATGGTTTTCAGCGTTTACAAGGCAGCCACGGCGCTGTTGTTAGCAGGATCGATCGGTGCAGAGGCGGCGAGCGTTGCGGCTCGTACTCCTACGGCCAACGACAGGGTGTTGCGTGCGGGAACGAAGAGGTCCGCTCATAAGCGATCAACGAAGATCGAGCCGACATTCGCACTCGACCTCCCTTACATCGAAGGTACATACTCCATCCGACTTTGGCAATACCAACTAACATACAACAGAGCCCACAAGATACAACGGCCACTCCATCTTCGCTTCGAACTTGAAGGTCGCTTCTAAAAAGCCAATTCTCAACTTGGAAGACATTGAACACCACCTTGAGGATGTGCAGTGTGTCAATGGAAAGGTCACACTGAAGTTCGCCGATACTTCTTCGGCTATTGATGCTCGGTTGGCGTGCCACGGTCCTGAGGGGGGTATCATTGTCACTTCGCACCTTGGCTGCAACCCGGCAGGCGAGCGATCAGTTTACACGTATGTCAAGACGAACATGGCAATGGCCCAATTACTAATATATCTAGTGTCCACGGTGCTTCGGCAAGTGGCGACGGATCGACCCTTGAACTCGACGTAATGGAGTCCCTGTTCGAGCATGCTTTTGACCGCATCGAGGTTGGCTTTGGCCATACTGAGGAGCACCACTCTATCCGCGAGCACACCGATCTCAAGATCCGCAAACGTCAGTTGGCCAGGCTAGAGGGCGCGATAGGCACCGCTGAGACTGTTGCGGCGGACGCTGAGATGGCCGAGGGCATGGCAGCGGGCGCGAAGAACGCCACTGAGGTTCTAGGCGAGGTTCCTGAAGATTCGGACCCCAATGTCCACGATGCCAAGTTCGACCTCAAGTGGGAAGTGACCAACAAGACCTTCAAGCCCGATGAGTTCCTTGCCGGTCTTCCCGTTGGCTTCACTCTCACCAACATGGCCAACCTCCCCCTCGAGCTCACCTGCAAGAAGTGCTTGACCAGGGGTGAGATAATCCTCTCGCAAGGTAACATCGAGATCGACACTGCAGCCCTCAAGGCCATCCCCGACAAGCTCAAGGAGATCCCCGGTATGGTTGCCAGCGCCATTCCTAGCGCCATCGCCGAGATTGGCGAGAAGATGGACGAGGCCAAGGACAAGCTCGAGAGCAAGGTCGATCAAGCTGCCGACAAGGTCACCAGCAAGGTCGGCGAGGCTGTGGATAAGGTCACCAGCATTATCGACGCTGTTCCTTCCAAAGTTGAGAGCGTTGCTGAGACTGCTGTCGCCGCCATCACCAGCATTGCCGGCGCCGTTGAATCCAAGGCCGAAAGCATCATCAACAACATCCCCATCCCTACCAAGCTTCCTGACATTGACCTAAACCCCTTTGACCGCCGCACCAAGATGGCCAAGCGCGGCGTCGACTTCGACTTGGGCAAGGTTATCACTGGCGGTTTCGTCGAGCTCAAGGCCAACGGCCTGGAGGCTTACTTCGAGCTGGGTGCTAAGCCCAAGAGCACTGGATACTTCACTTTCCGTGTACTTGAGCTCCCCATCCTTGGTTTCGTTATCCCTGGTGTTGGACGTGCTGGTGCCGTCTTTGAGGCGCTCCTTGAGGCCGACTACGAGATGGAGGGTGGTTTCGAGATGAGCTACGGTATGAACCTTGAGGTACGTATCCATATCAAACGTATCACTGCATAAGCTAACAGCACTAGGTCCCAAGCAACTCCACCATGCGCATCGACCTTGGCGACATGTCCAAGACGGGTGTCAGCGGTTTCCAGGACTCCACGCTGACTCCCCTTCCGTTCAACTTCGAGAAGAAGCAGCTCGACGCTTTCGTCAGTGTTGCCATGGTTCCGTCCATCCCCATTGGTTTCAAATTCCTTTCCGTCCTTGACGTTGGTGTTGAGGCTGAGCTCGACCTTCCTCGTCTTGATGCGCTTATCTCTACGATTGACGATGCCGACACTCAGTGCAACGACCTCAGCTACGAGGATGAGGAGGGAGCCACCGATGAGACCGAAGATGGCACCACGGACGAGACCGAAGATGGAACCACGGACGAGACCGAAGATGGCACCACCGATGAGACCGAAGATGGCACCACCGATGAGACCGAAGATGGCACCACAGACGAGACCGATGACAGCACAACCGATGAGACCGACGACAGCACAACTGACGAAACTGAAGATGGCACAACCGATGAGACTGAGGATGGCACAACCGATGAGACCGACGATGGCACAACCGATGAGACCGACGATAGCACCACGGACGAGACCGACGATAGCACCACGGACGAGACCGACGATAGCACCACGGACGAGACCGA